CGCACTACACTATAGGGCGCTCCACACATTTTGAGGGGAAAAAAGACGTTTATATGCGCCTTATAGTCGTGAAAATACAGTAATTCATGATCCTCGAGATGTGATAAATAGGCCAGACACAACACCAGAAACCTTCCTTTATTATGAGACCTGCACCACCGTGCTTCAATATAATGTGACTTAAATTCATGGAGTGGAGTGTCACCCCGACCCAAACGATCAACCTTCCTTCTTCAGTCTATAAAATCTGCTGCATTTCTCTTTAAGTCAGATTAAAGACACAAAGGCAGAACATCTGCTGCCTTGGTCCTTATTTTAAGGCACCTCTTTGAAAGAATGAAGGACCTCACTGATTATACTATGCCATTATTAAACAGACTCTTTCAATTAATGACTGTTACAGAGAATGTTTTTCTATGGTTCTATTGCACCTTTTAGTAACTGTACGACTCAGGATTATAATTTCTACTAAAACGATCAGTAATCTGCCTGAGGATGTTGGATTTAACGTATTTTGAGCACAGCTGTGACTCTTTGCATATTACTCTATAGCATGGTGCTTTATGCAGACTGAGTGAAGTTTACAGAATAAGTTTCATCTTTGTTCTGAACCCTGTGCATGGTTTATGTGCCAGGTGTGGTGGAAACCCAGGCCTTTGTTTGCAGTTGCAGTCTGTGACTATAAGAGATCACATTACCCTACATTATTCAGCTCCAGCTGCAGTCAGCCTCTTTGTTTCTACTCTTCTTCTGTAAATCGTCAGGTTTATGCGAGCGAAGCTTACCAGTAAAGTCGTGCTGGGAAAGGACAGAATAATGTTAGTATGAATGAAAAAGCCCTTTTATAGTTTTGTATAGGATTTGACTGAGCACTCATTTTCAGAGCCTTGNAAAAGCCCTTTTATAGTTTTGTATAGGATTTGACTGAGCACTCATTTTCAGAGCCTTGTGTGGAAACTAGGCAGCACTGATAGGTAAACATTTTTCCCCCCTTTTTTTAATCGAGGTCTTTTTATTGGACAAAATTGTATATAAAAATTACAACAGTATCGATTAAAATAAAAATGTAACAGAACCCAACCAGAGAAGGGGTCAAATAATAATAATTGCAGCAATAATACAATAAACAAAGCGCAAATATTAAGCAATAGTTTGTGCATTTATATTTCCTTTTT